GAAATTCTGCTATTCCTGATGGAAACTTCAAGGCCTCCAGACCCATCCCTGGGCAGGTGACAGGGAATGATGCCAGRTTTGCCAGCTCAGAGCCTCAGCCCATCACTAAAAACCCTCCAAGAGCCCAGCATGGCTCCCTGCAGCTGGAGAGGATCCCTCTAGGACYACCAGCCCCATCCCAACTCCCTCCTTTCAGGATCCGAACCCAAATCATCCTCAGATCCCAAATTCCCAGCTCTTCTCCTCCCAAAACCACAGCCTTGTTCCTCCTCCAAGCCCTTCCCTTAAACCCAAGAGTGGAGAGGAGCGGATGGACCCCTAATCCCAAAGGATCCCAAAGGATCCCAAAGGAGCCCAAATGATCCCAAAGGACCCCAAAGGATCAGTCAGGGCACCTTGACACAGGGACACACTGAAACCTCTGGTGGAAAAGCAACCCCGCCAGGACACACAGGGACAGACTCAACACATCCCCCCAGGATGGGAGGGAGCGGGGGAGCAGCTCTGGGGGTTGGAAGGGTGAGGAGAAGAGGCTGGAGGAGGGAGAAAAGGGATGGAGGGATGGGGAAGGGGATGGAGGGATGGGGAAGGGCTGCAGGGAGGAGGAAAAGGATGGAGAAAGAAAGAGAGGGATGGTGGGATGAGGAAGGGGCTGGAGGAGGGAGGGAAGGAATGGAGAAAGGAGGAAAGGGATGGAGGATTGAGGAGAGGGCTGCAGGGAGTAGGAAAGCGATGGAGAGAGAAAGAAAGGGATGGAGGGATGGGGAATGGGCTACAGGGAGGAGAAAGGGGGTGGACTAGGGAGAAAAGGGATGGAGGATTGAGGAGGGGGCTGCAAGGAGGAGGAGAGGGATGGAGAGAGAGGGAACGGGATGGAGGATTGAGGAGGGGGCTGCAGGGAGTAGTAAAGGGATGGAGAGAGAAACAGAGGGATGGAGGGATGGAGAAGGGGCTTGAGGGATGGGGAAGGGGCTGGAGAAAAGGGATGGAGGAAGGAGGAAAGGGACGGAGGATTGAGGAAGGGGCTGCAGGGATGGGGAAGAGGCTGGAGGAAGGAGMAAAGGGATGGAGGAAGGAGGAAAGGGACGGAGGATTGAGGAAGCGGCTGCACAGATCGAGAAGGGGATGCAGGACGGGATAAAGGATGGAGGAAGGCGGAAGGGGCTGCAGGGACGAGGAGGATGGGGCTGCGGGGACATGGAAGGGGATGGAGGGAGGAGGACGGGCCTGCAGAGCCGGTGGGACCGAGGGGCCGGAGGAAGGGCCGAGTGCCGGGGATACCGGGGAATTGTCAGCGAGGGGCGGCGGAGGGAGCCCGGGGGTAACGAGGGGAGGGAACCGGGGGGCGATGCCGCGGCCCCGCTCCAGGCGCGGCTCGGTACCTGAAGCGCTCCCGGCTTCGCCGTCCGGGAGCTGCGGCCCGGAACCCCCGGCCCGGCCCTTCCCGGGGCCCGGAGCGTGTCGGGGCCCCCGGCCCGGCCCTGCCCCTGCCCCTGCCCGGCCCGGCGGGTCCGGGGGTCCCCGGTGGGGCCCGGAGCGATCGGGGCCGGGCCGGGCCCGCCGGAGCAGCGACACCGCCACAGCGCCGCGGGGCCGCCAGGGGGCGCCAGGGGGAGGGGCGCCGCCGAGGGGGCGGGGCTACAAGGGG